TGACCATGAGATCATTCTCAACAGCTGCCTCTGCTGGTTTGGCACTCGCTTGTGCGAATCGCTGCGGATGACAAAGATCGGCTCGAGCCAATCCAAATAGATTTCCCGCACTGGGCTATACTGAGCCTTGGCCACTCAAGCCAATTACACATCTACCTAGAATTGTCTATCATTGCTATCATGTTCCCCCTGTCCACTATGCCCGCTTTTGAAGTCCGGAATGCTGATTTTAGCAGTTTAGCATACACAGACATGCTCCTTGCAGCTAGCTGGCAGCTACAGCGCAGCCGATCACTGCAACCACGCCGATTCGCAGAAACCAGGTGTTGAGGTGGGGATAGGACATGATGATTGACAGCGCCGTCATTGCATCCATGCCCAGGCACACCTTGCCAAAGCAAATCTGTCTTGTCTTTTACCATCTTTAACCTCTAGTGCGTGTTCATCCCTGTGACCTTGAGCCAAACTAGAGTGGTTCTATGCCAGCTGAAGGATTTTCCACATCAACCTTGTGAACAAATTCTGGGTCCCAGCGAAATCATGAGTGCATTGCATGCGTTGCAAGCTAAGCTCGCAGCAAATGTCTCTCCCTTCTCTGGAGGCAGAGCAATGTTTGCAATCTTTGCCGGAGAGCGGGCACTTGCAACCACTGCAGCAATGAATGCCATCGATGCCAAGGTGTACACAATGTTCTGCCACCAATAGGCATGGCCAGGCGCCTCGGTGAATTTCCGGTCACTCACGCCGCGTCTGCAGGCAAAACACCAACCAGAATACGAACTGATCTTGGAGAGCTTGGAAACAAGGAAATTTGGACTGATTGGCAGGCACGGTCTACAAATTGAAACTACCAAGCGTCATTTTGAATTGACGAACTGACTATACATATATGGATTTATATATATATATATGTGTGTGTATTTATATGTTATATATATATACTGTATATAATGAGATGAAGATTCGGGAAGCACACTTTTCTTCGGAGAACCGTGGCAAAGTGACGCCTAAAACAGATAAAGATTCGACACCAAAAGCGCCACCAGTCGTAAAATCAAAGGAGGAATTATTGCAGTAAAATCTGTCACAGGATGCTAGTAACGTGTTGGCAAGCGCGATTTGCCAACCTTTTCACAAAACCTACCGATACAGCGGCAGGTGGACGCACTTCATGGCAGCCATACCATTCGAACGGCAAGAAAGGGACTGCCAGAGCGTAGCCCAAACATCCAAGAACTTAAGCCACCTGAAGGCCCTGACCAACTAAGAACAAAAAAGAAATCGGATGCTTCACTCTGATTCCGGCATATTCCGGCATTTCTGGGTGAAGGCGGTGGTGACTTGGCCTGTGGACTCACGAGTGCATGACAGACTTGATTACACAAAGTGATCAAGCTGGCTGGTGAGTGGCTTGCTGAACATGCTCGCAAGCAAGCCCGTGAGAAAATGCCTCTATCAGTGGTTCGGCAAACTTGTATACATTTGTATACTATGTTGGCCGCTAGTTTGACAATGTCACCCTGCCAGGGATTCGAACAGAAAGGAGGAAAGTGACACCAGAAGGGCGACCATATCAGCGAGGCTCCGTGAGCATTCAAAACCCTATGATCACAGAAATTTGCGGCCGAGTAGCATCCGCAAGGGACAATATGACACAAAGCTGAGGTCCAATAGCAGCTGCTTCTGCTGCTGCTGCTTCGAAGCTATCCTCTGGAAGAACTTCAGACAGTGCTTGATCCTGAATCAGCTGGTGCTAGTATTTGCTCACTTAGCTATGGATCTTGGCGACCTGCAAAATAAAAACTGGGGCCAAACACGGAGTCAAGAGAAGCTGCTTGAAGCTGCTTCAAGCTGCTTGATGCTGCATGAAACCCTGCATCATGCTATGTTGGGTACCAGCCATGCACAGCAGCTCTGAGGTTCAGGCTGCCGCATCGCTTAAGCGTCTACCGGCCAAGATCATATGCGGGAATGCGAAGCCAATTGCCACGATAGCCAGGCATGATTCACAGACGGTAATGCCTGAAAAAATATGAAAAAGTGTGGAAAAATGAGAGTCACCATGAGCAAGACATTACACAAAAAGAAGCTGCTTGGCGAATTCAGCCTGCACTAAGTCTGCACGAAGTCTGCACCCATTGCTGTACTCTGAATTCCTTGACAAGGTGCCTCCCTTCATTGTCGCCATCGTTGCGCAAAGAAGGATGATGCTGACAAACAATCCAACACAACTAACTGAATGAGCATGCCCAAGAGCACTGTGAAGGAACGGCGACCGGATGAAACGCAAAATCCTTACAGTCAGACATGGAGAGATCTGCCGGCTCAGCGCAAAGAAGGCAAAAGGCTAACTGAGCTACTGACAGCTACTGAGCTTGTTGCATCTTGTTGCTACATGATTTGTTCTCTGAGACTTCCAAATGCAAAAAAGCAGCGGCCCCCATTTCAGATCCTCACTTCCTGCGTGCAGTGCATCAATAACACAGCTCCAAGTTCATCTCAAGAAATCTAAGAATGGCAAAAGGCACATACTTTCTATTGTGCATGCAGTCACAACATCGCACCAATCACATGCACACGGTCCTAAAGGCAATCCATCTGCATCTTCATCAAGCATCCGCACGGCAGCGGTAGTGAACCCCGCTATCAGCCATACCCACAGGGAGCTAACTGCCAACGTTTCTGTCAATGCTACTGACTGAGGCAATTGTTCGCTGTTGCCCTGGTGGTATCCACTGAAGCCTCAGGGTACAGTTACGCGGAGGGTGGCATCGAATTAGCTGCACTATCAAAACAGTGCCTCGCCTGGGAGCTTCTCTGGCCGTCCCACTGAAATTTCTTTCCCCGAGCTTGCAATGCTGCAACATGTTTAACAGCGTGCAATGAGCTGCTATGATCATTGAGTGTCATGGGCACAAGGCCTCGGGTTGGTTTTGTACTCCCTTAGCACACGCCTGGCGAAACCAAATGATACAGTACGACCCCGTCAAACTTTCAAATCACTTGATCCTAGGTGTCCTTCTGCAACTGCAAACGTACCACTAATCCAAATTTGGGGCTAATATTTTAGATGTCCACAACTGGAGAAGTTCCCTACCGCGTCACTCAATCTACCGTTTCGCTGCCTGATTCTGCAAGGCCCGCCCCAGAGGCTTTGTGTTTCATGTTTTTTCTTAACTGAAATATATAATTTGCTTGCACAACCGTGGGCCCAGGGTCACACAGTGGTGGCTGAGCGGCTGACAGTGCAAGAAAGATTATGCCAATGAAACAGATGTAGCTAAACGTTTAATCTTCTGCTTAAGTGGAGAAGTGTCCTCCAGTAAGCTGTTGCATCGTTTGTCCCGAATGGCTTGAAACCTGCTATGACCTAAGCTCTAGTTCGAACCTTCATCCAGGTCATAGGAAACCAAACTTGAGAACAATCACAAAGGCCCTCGACCGCTGAGATCGAAACGGCATGATGGGCTAGTCAAAATATATATTCAAATATTCAAAACTCAAAACTGTTGTTCCTTTAGTTGCAGGATGTTTTTTTTTCGGACTTGCCAGGTTTTTCACTTTGTGTCCATAATACTGTATATATTATATGTTTCGCATTCATTTGATGCATAGAAGTATGCATGCATATGCAAAGGGAACATCAGCTAAAGAAGAAAATTGGTCTGGCTCACCTTGTTTACCATTGCTTTAAATGCTTGTTTGGGTGGTTTGTTTCATTGCCTCGGACTGCCACTTTGCCTTTGACTGCCAGTTTCTGGAATTAGAGGGCCAGGTCTTACCCAAGGTATCGAACCATTGGACGACACCAGCAGTGACCCACAGGGCAAGCTCATCTGAGTGCTAGAATCTGCTAGAGTGCCTTCATGCTCTTTGTCAATTCCAAAATGCTTCAAAGCCCAACTCAACAAAGGAAAATCAACTAAGTGCGGAGCGCATCGCTCGCGTGTGCACAGCTACAAAGAGTGAATATACCACAGCCCAGCAATGCACGGCGCCGGCCGCAACTAGCACCAGAGAACTATTTAAAAATGCCCGTCTTGATCGCTCCACAAATTGAATCCAGCCAAGCCAGCCACGCACGGCCAAGTACACCAACGGCTGCATTGCCTTCAAAATGACTGGTGAACGGAATTTCATCAAGACGCGCACCATGCAGAATGGAAAACACGAAGGATGTCTCATAGGATGTCTCGTACAATATATATCAAAATCCGCAACAAAATCCGCAACAAGAATGTTGGCCCTCCAGTCCAAGGCCTCCGCGAGCTGCGTTTCCAGGCTTTTGGAGAACTTCTGCTTGGGCCAAAAACTTTGAAAGCTTCATTCTAATTTCATTCTATGCATTCCATGCTAAACGTTTTGCTCAGCATGTCTCTGAGCTACGCGAGCTGTATCCAGCTATGTCTGTTGATGGAGAAGTGAAGTGAAGTGAGCAGTCAACATGCACGGTAGCTCAAAGTATTGCAAGCTTGTGGAATTCCTTTTTTCCACCGACCTCCTTCGCAGCCTGCGCTTTCAGGCCATACATTATACGAACAAAGAACACCTTGCAGCTGCAACGTGCAGTTGCTTAAGCAGCAAAGAGCCAGGCTTTGTCACTTCAATGGGGCAGCCTGAGTGGCAAAGAAGCCGGCCGCATCCTTGATTTCTTGCGCTGTAGGGCCGTGCTCCACCATGTATTTCCTCAAAGGCACAGTTTTGCACTAACACAATCCAGACATATCCAGACCTTTTTAAAATCCAACCCTTAACGTAAGTCCACCCTAGACAATCAGTCGCCCAAAATTACATGGTTATCATTTCCTGTAAACCATGCCCGCTTTCTATTACTGATTTCATCAAATTCACATGCGACGACAAGGAGGAAGCACCAAAACGTTTGAATAGGAGAATAAGTTCAGAATAAGAAACAAGATGAAACAACTAGCAAAATGGCTTCCGGACCACTGGCCTCCACTGTCATGGTATGATATCATTTTTCATGCGTCAAATCACATCTCCACGGGGAACCTGTCAGCCAAATCTCAGCCCTCACCCCAGACTCTATTGTGCTGTACTGAGCTGTACTGAGCTTCAAAAATATTGGGCTGAGACTATGCTTGACTCGTTTCACTCCGTCCTTTCACTCCGCTATGACTCCGCTTGCTGACAGAGCTTCTTACTTGTCACTTTGAGCCCTGCTTGCTGCAGGATCTCCACACCTTCATCCTGCAGATCTGGATGAAGAACTTCGTCGCGGGTTCCATGCCCCCAAAATACCTCCGAAGCGGCGTGCTGGGATGTACTGGGCACTTTTTTCAGCAACAGAGACAAACCTTGCCTGCATGCCTTGGTTCTCAGGATATTGGGCCAGCTTCATGACAAGATCAGGGAAGAAGCAAATTCCGCTGAAGACCTTTCAGCAAAGCAGGGCACTGCAGTTGAAGCGATTCGGGAACAGCCTTGATTCAGCAACACCATTCTGACTTTCAAGCGGTTTGAAAACATATCTACTAAGCTGCTATAGTGCCACCAAGCCGTTGTGGATGGGTCAGGGCAGACAGCATGGCCTGAGTCCAAAGGAAAAAGACCAGGGAACCTCATAGAATGCATGAACCCGAACAGCATCACCCCCGCCGCTAAAGTAGAACCCAAACAAGAACCCTTAGCTGAGCTGCACATTTGAGAAGCAAGAAAGGTAGAGAACGGCAAAGCCACACTGTTCAAAGTCAAGTTGCCATTGCCCCACCTTGAGAAAAACCTCCAACTACGATGTTCTGAGGTGGAATTCCTTCATCGACCAGCTTGTCGATGGCAGCATGGACTCTTCCACAAGATGACAGAGCTTCTTCTATTGAACAGCCATGATGCGGGGCACTTCGGTGCGAGATTGGCAGCCGGGAAATGTCAAACCAACTCGTGAGGATCTCCCCATCATTACAACTTGATCGCTGGCGTGGCGCACGAGGGAGAATAAACTTGCATGGCCCCAAGGCAGCTGGAACCATGAACTCGTCCTCTAGCATATCTGCCCATCCGCTCTCATCATCACCCAAGCCATGCATCCACACGAGGCCACACTTTGGTTTTCCCTTGGGAAGAACAAATTCGGTGCAGCACTCCTACAGGGAGAGCAGCCCATTTAAAACAATTACACAATGAATTGTGATGGCATATGATTCCGTCATGTAACATATGTACGAATTGTGCACCCTGTTTTGCACCAGTTTGCATTGCCCCTTTTGCTTCACATCTGGTCCTTTGACAGACCCAACGGAGACAACTTGAATCTGAGCTCTTGACCCAGCGTCACCAATGATGGTACCGACCCAGGATCCTTCGAGGAAGAGTTCCCAGAAGACCCGGAATCAGACCCACAGCACGCCATAAGCGAACAGTATGGAGCAGGCACTATCAGACTTTTACTAGGCCTCTGCCACCTGCACCTCCATGACTATCTTCACTATACTCACTGTGCTCACTCCTGTCCGCCAAATGAGTTGCACAAGCTTTACGATTGGACATGTTTGTTTGTTCATTCATATTTCTCACCAAGGTTAAATTGTACGGAGCCAACTTACACTTTAGAGCAAAAGTCCTGGAATTGAGCCAGCCAAATGAGGAGTTGTCTTACATGTTGCCAAATCACTTCAATCTGAACATGCACTTGCCCCGCACCTTTTTCAGTTTCAGCCGTGTTAGATTAAATTTCTTTGCAGAAGACATTGCGATACGGAGTTTCCGTGCCATTATTGAAAGACTATCGTCTAAAGCAGCTCCCACCTTCGCCAAATTCAACACCCACTCTGGAAGTGGGCCCAAGCCCAACAAACGACAGAATTCGTCGCAAAAATGGCAACAGTTGCGACGTAGCAAATCATAGCTGTTCATGGGCCAGTCATCACAAATTTCACCAAGAATGGTTAGCACATCAATGTGCGACAAGCATGTGGTGCCAATTGCAATTGATTCACGGAAGGAGTGCTGCTTGCACATCTGTGGAGTGCAGCTCCATATGCCAGTTTCGTCACCTTGGTCTTCTGAATCTGCGCTCAGGCCACCAAAGCTCCACTCTTGATCATAAACCTGAACTGCTGCATGGAAAGCTCCGCCTCCTAGTGGTTTTAAAATGACATTGAGATTCTGAATTGCACTGGTGTCGCCCAGATCGTAAATGTTCAGAAACACCGTTTCTGATGTGGCAACGTCAGAGTGACCGTCGCCTGGAGAAGCATGTGGTTTTGCCAGGTCAGCCACTGCACAACTGATGCGGCTTCCGTCACCATGTATTGACACCCGTCTCTGAACACTGGTGGAATTGGGGTCAAATCCGGATTTGTCAGTACTTTCATGAAATTCTAGGATGGTTAGTTTCGGAAGGGATTCAGCCATTTGCCTTGCTTCCGGGCCTTGCCTTCGGTCAATGTATTTCGAAGTTCGAACGGAATCGTCCTCAATGTCAGGTTTGCTCCTATTGCAGGTTCCATGGCAAACATCTGAAGTAGTGACAGCAGATGCCAGCGCTCGTCTCTCAATGTATGAAGACTTCCGCTGGTTGCCTTCAAAATGAGTGAGCTGTTCAGCTACGCTTGCAACCGGCAGTCGTCTTGCCAGGTAGCTTGATGACGATGGCTCGGCCATGGCAGCCACTGGGCTCACATCTCAAAAAAATCATGAAAGAGAATCAACATGTTTCTACAGATCAGAGTTTCAAGGCCAATAAAAGAGGAGGGTGCGCACCAAAGTGCCAAGCACCTGTACCTTATTTTTATCCCTGCCGTGACATGGACTAATGATTGGATAATGGTTGAGTAATGACTGAAAATTGAATAACGACTGAAAATTGAATAATGACTGAATACTGACTGAATAGTGCCTGAATAATGACTGAACAATGAGTGGTAAAGCCTGAAACTTGACAAAGTTGCACACAAACACACATCTGCAAAAAGGCGCAGGGACACTTCATAACATACACTACCAATTTTTGTGGTTGGACCATGTTGGACCCATGCCTTCGTTGTATGTTTTTGTCATGGGTTCTCTTTGCTTAAATCTAAAATTGAAAAAAAAAACTAAAAATTAAACGACAGCAGCACGGGCCGCATCGGTTCAAGGATGTTGTTGGTCAACTGTTGCAAGAAATTTGACACATCAAAATGAAAAACAAAATGAACAGCATAAGACTTGGGGTTTCCATGCTGGGAAACAACTGGTCGGGAGACAACCTGGACACGACATTGCACTCATAATGTTCTGGACAGCTTCCCAGTTCGCAAGAACCATTAAATTATGATTGGCCTCCATTTGAAATTTGTGAAAATGTGGGAAGCACTCTGTTTGGGCCCCCTCCTGGCCCTTACCAAAATGAGGGCCGACAACCATAGTTTGGCAACAACACTGCCGCACAACCCAAAGCATCTCGCTGAACTTTACTGACTTTTTGTCAGGCGAGTTACGACCCAATCGAAAGAGGGAACACGGGAGGTATCCAAAAAGGGAAGGGGGTTAGGCCCCACACACTGAAAAAAATAACTTTGGAATTCCAAAGGAATTGCCGCTGATCTGGTGGAAAAGGAAAAATACAGAGGCAAATTGGGTTCGTATGAGGTTAAGATGACGTATCATCCCCGGATAAATGCCGACAATGGCTGATACTACCAGTTTGGTCCGGACCATTTTTTCCATTGGTTCACCTGGGCGGCACACCGATCAAATACTAGAAACACGAACCTATGTATAACATGACTGATAGGGAAAATCCAATATATATATAAAATGGAAACGGGATAACTGACAGTACCTAGAAAACCAACCAGCACCGATTGATGGGAACAAAAAAATACGCATCGCTTGCGCAGTTAAGAAATGAACATGCCAAAGGCCCATTTATGGCAAGAGACCTGCGGGGCAAGGGTCGGCATTCAGTGCAGCACCAACAACTGATTGCAGTTTGCTTCTCAACGGTTTCACTGCTATGAGCTTCGCTCAATAATCCACCATGACGAGAACATTAACGTTTCCAGCCACAACGTAGAAATCACATTGTTGAGTGTGATCTCTATGACAGCAATAAGCTATATGACATCTTCCTGGTTCAGTGATATTTGATCATTATTTCGAGGCAGGGATGCTTTGTACTTTTCAAGGTGCAGCTGTGCGCCAATATGTTTATGATACGTAATAAGGATGGATAATGGAAACCACCCAACTGAAGGCCCAGGAATGACCCATCAACATAGGAAACAAATTCGACAAACGCACACCAAAATGTTGACAGCGGCATTTTTGTGTAATGACATAGCGTGTAGAAACAATTTTCGTATATTTATTTACTTTTTTTTATATTTAAAAAATATGTACATTGAAAAAAACATGAAATATAGTGCAGTTCCACCAGCCATTTTGAATTACGGAAGATCCGTTTGTTACTAAAAAGATGCAAACTGGAGGCCCAGCAAACAAGGAACGTCTATATTTGTGTTTCTGCCCCATGCGAACGGATATGTGCCACTGTCATTAAGGGGGAAAATTTCTTTACACCGCTAAACCCCCCCCAAAAAAAAACTTATATATTGCCAGCGCGCTCTCGCGAGACGACATTCTGGCGCCTGATGACATGTAGCCGGTGGAGCTGTTTACGCCAAGAAGAACGCATGAAAATAGTTTGGGGATGCTTAGGGCATTGGGTTTTCCAATGCAGGCACATAGGGTAACAAGATCACTTTGGAACACAGTCTAAAGCATCACTTTGGAACACAGCCATTTTGACCTCACTTTGGAACACAAAATGCTACATATCATCAAACCACCGCCAACCAAACAGACATCAGATTTACTGACAAGCGCAGTACTTTGGAAGCCTCGCGCGTTCCAAAGCGAGGCCACTACAAAAAAAGGGCCCCAATGAAACATATAGTCTTTAGGCCGATGTCAGTGCCACGCCTGCCGCACAAAATGAAGGTCGATGTCACCAAGCGCCACGCCTGCCACACAACATGGACGTCGATGTCACCAAGCGCCACGCCTGCCACACAAACTGTACGTTGCCAATCCTGACAGTAACAATGGTTCTACCTTTTAAGCTTTTGAGGGGGTGGGGTGAAGAGGGGCACTAGCGTCTAGATTAGATCAGCCAGAGCGTCTTCCCAGACAGCTAACACACCTTGGATACTCGGCCGATAGCCAGTTGGTGCGGTGTCTACAGGATTACTCTATATCTCTCTTGAGACTTGACAGCGTATGTAAATGCGCTCAATACTCATGGTATATCCACACAGGATTCAAGCCCAAACAAAAACACAGGCACAAATTCAAAGGCAATGAGTAGAGCACTACGCCTTGTCGTACCCAATTCAAGAGGAATGCTTGGATCATCCATGAGATCTGGTTCATCAACATCCTCAAAATTTGACGGGTGAAGATGCTTGTTGTCATTCTTGAGCTTTTTGAGTTCAAGACGAAATTCATGATACTGTTCATCAGTGATGTCAGTGCCTGTCCATGGTGCAAAAAGTTCTATAAAACTCTTATGGGATTCAGAGATGAGAAATTCCATCATAAGCACCATTGCAAAGTTACCAATTTGATCACGACCTAATGGTTCTTCGCCTTCTCTGTCATCACGGGTGGGAATGTTTTGTGAATTGAATGCCATATCTCTCAGTAGCTCTCGATACTCTGTCTTGAGCTGCCTCATAATGTAGATTCCATACCTTTCCTCAGGTGAACGGCTACTTGCTACGTCCAACTCAGGTATCTCTTCTGTCTGCTCCGAGTGTCCTGCTTGTTGGGATGCTTCCTCTCTCTCCTGAGAGCTTACATCATCTTCTTTCTTTGTCTTTTCCTGGAGCCTGACAATAACTTCCACTGTTGGTAGGAATTCTACTTCTTCCTCAACATAATCATCATCATCCATGTTGACATCATCAGCTTGATCTTTTGGCACATGAACCATCTTGTCAGTATTTGCAAGCCAAACACAACCGTCAAGCTTTGCAGATGTATGGAATTCACCTGCACCTAGATCTTTTGCCTTGGTCCTTGCACGTGCAGATTGATGAAATGCTTCATGTTGGAAGAATGGGTTGTAGGCATGCTCAACAAAGAATCTGTAGGATTGGGCTGTCATATCCTTCCTGCTGTCCACAAACTGTGTGAGCTTCTTGTGGGCAAAGTTGGTGTAAGGGCAGAAATCCCTTGGAGCTTCATTCTGGTACAGATCAATAGCCAAGACCATGAGCTTTGTGGAGAAAGAGAAATGTGTTTCTGGATCTGGAATGATGGTCTTCTTGGTCATGGGAACCTCGACATTTGGATCCGTCATGTCATACCCACAAGTGTTCAATTCCAGCACAATGTCATTTCCATCATCATTGTACTTCTTCTTGCAGAAGTCTCCCCACATGCTGTCGTTCTCTCTGATCAACTTGATGTTTCTGGAAGAATTGATAGACAGCCTCTGCAAACCATTCAAGATCTTCTTGAATCATCAGATCACGTTCATACAGAAGCCAATTTTCTGACCATCCCTCTCGATCAATGGAATATCTGTCTTCCCAACCTGGTGGTTCACTTTGTCCTCTCATCCAGTCTGTGTGGTTGTACCGACAATCATTCAGGAAGTTTGTGAGATGGTTGTACTGACGTGTTTTCATGTAGTATGAACGTAGTCGACCCATCTCCCAGCTTCTAGCGAAAAGGTAACACAGATGTCCTGTCCATGGAAGCTTCTCCCAGTCAGCACGTCCAATGGACTGCCTTCTCAAAGCAACTCGTTGATGCATAAGCAAAAATGCCCGTTCTCGGGGGGTGATGACCTTCTCTCAATAATGATTTGGCTTGATACGGCCATCTTCAGAGCGAGCACAAATGATGCCTGCCTCACACGGCCAGGGATTTGATGCAGAAATAGAAGAACGTGCCACTCGTTCAACTACATAGCCTTCATCTGGTGCATCTTCTGCTTCCCAATGATCAACTGCATCTTCACCCATAGGATCATCTTGAGTGGGATCAACTTGTTCTTGAGAGGGTGCTTCTTCTTGATCATGATGTTCATCTTGTTGTCGTTCTTCTTCTGGAGGTTCTGAACTATCTGATGAGGAACGCTGCTGTTCCCATCGATCGACAGGTTCCTCTCTCTGCTGAGAGCGTCCTGCACGTCTTGATGGCTGTTCATATGGATTTTCCATAGGCTGATCATTTTGTTCAGATTCCTCTCTCTGCTGAAAGCCTTCTGACAATAAACCATGAACTGATTCGAGTGTTGGATCAAAATCAGCCTCTCTTGCCAGGGGTAAGCCAAAAACAAGCTTTCCATAATTCTGAGGAATCTCCTGGCCCATGAACTGCCAAGCCGTAGTTCTGATGGTTTCAGGAATGGGACCTCCAGGAACAAACCTGACACCCTTCTCACGTTGAACATGTCCATCATCATAACTAAAATCAGCTGGCCAAGTTCCCCCTGTGACTGAGGGTGGCAGCATATGTCCTCTTCCAGGTCTCAGGGACATTGCACGCCAACGTTGGTAACTGATCTTGAAGGCGTAAAAATTCAGCTGGTATGTCACCGTGGAATAAAATCACCCCGTTCTTGGTAAGGAAAAGCTGCTGGCTCTTAATAAACTCTGGAGTCAACACGAAGTACAATGGGTGCCT